TCTCTCTCTCTCTCTCTCTCTCTCTCTCTCTCTCTCTCTCTCTCTCTCTCTCGCTTTTCCGTACCCCCAGAGGCTCCAAGACCGTTGATTTCGCCTGCGACGGCACATCCTCAGGCTCGGGAACAGGCACGGGAACAGGCTCGGGCACCGGAGCAGGGACGTGCACGGGCAACACGGGCGTGAGCGGCACTGCATGCCCCGCGTCCACTCTCTGCGGCTACTCCTACCAGGCACAAATCAAATCCGGGTACGCGGATGCAGAGCCCTTAGTCTAGACCCCTTCCCCCCCTCCCCCTTCTCCAACCTCCGCTCACATTGCTCGCCGCTCTTGCCCCAACTTCTTGCATCGTCTTTTCCTCTAAAATTTGCCGCTTCCTCGTGTTCTGAGTCCGTCCTCTCCCCTTCCCTCTACCGCCCTTCCCTCAGCGTGCTGCTGCACTGGAAGAAGGTGTCGGCCACGCAGCTGGACATGGCAGTCGAGCTCAAGACCAGCAGCGGCGCCAGCAACGGGTGGTTCGCGCTCGGCTGGGCCAACGGGGGCTCCATGGCTCCCTCCGACGCAGTCATAGGCAACAGGGCGGGCGGCCTTGTCAGCCCGTACCGCATCACAGGCTACACTATGAGCTCGTTACAGGGCGCCTCGTTTAGCATTGGCAGCAGCGCGGGGACTGTGACGTCCGCCACCGGCTCCACAGTGATCCAGTAAGTATAATCAGCGAGCTTCCGTGCCTCCCTCCCACATATCTTCAGCATATGACATATTTCACCTCTATATTCATGCCATCCTGTACATCCAGCCATCACGTTTATTCGTCGTACCCAGACTAACGAAATGCCTTATCCCCCCTTTGCTTGGTGGCCAATCAGGTTCTCGCGCACAACTGGCACGGGGTCCATTCCCATCAAGATGAGTGGCGTCAGCCGTCTCATCTGGGCTCACTCCAACTCCAACTCCAAGACCCTTGCTTTCCACGGCGGTGCTGAGTGAGTGTCCCAAACGCTGGCTCTCCAATACCCTTACTTTTACGTCAAGACCCCTCTGTGCATCCCGACTTCAACTCTTCAAACCCTTCTTACTGCAGTTACCGACGCCCTCTCTCTCTTCGTGAATGCTCTCCAGCGTCCTCTTCCATCCAGTAGCTTCCTCCCCTGTCTGAAGCGCACCCGCCTCCCTCACCCCCCACTCACTCCTCCACAGCTGCCGAATGTCAGTGGGCTTGGTGTCCCAGTGTCTCTCCATCATCTCACCACCCTTACTTTCTCTCCCCCTCTCCCCTCCCCCTGTCCCTCGCCCCCTTGTTCCATCACAGTGGTAGCATGTCAGTGGACTTTTCCTGCGCCACTGCCCCGTCGTCCGGCGGCGGCGGGGGCGATGATAATGGCGAGGGGGGTGATGACTGGGGGGAGGGTGGTGGTTCAGGTAGCGGTGGGGCTTTCCTCTCGCAGCTCATCGCTTGGCTTGGCTCGCTCTTCGGCTTCCGCAAGTAGAGGGCATACGCTGCACAGCACAGTGCAGCACACACCACACAATGCTCACTGGGAGTTGTGCATGGTGGATATGAGTTGGTGGTGGTGGCGATTATCAGGAGGGTTGAGAAGGGGAGGTGTGAGTCTAGTAGTGTAGACGTAAGTAGCAGGCTGGACCACAGGCATCTTTTGGAGTTGTGTGTGCGAGAGGCTCCACTGCACAGCACAGCCTAAAAGATGGTTGTGATGCCTTGCCCTGTATGCCATAGATGAGTTGCACTGTTTGCTGGTTTCCAACCGTGATGTATAAGTTTTATTTGTAAAAGGGCCGTTAAAATGTAGAAGGATGGCAAGATGAAGGGCTCATATGCAATCATAGGGAAGATGCCAGTTGATGCACATGTAAAAACCAAAGTTACAGACCATGTAGGTAGTCATTGGTTGCAGCCGTGCCCCATTTGCAGTCACGGTGTAGTACTACTGTCAGGTGAGTTCACAGGTCTGTTCTCAATAATACGGTAGCAGGTTATGCCATGTCCACCCAAAAGAAAGGAAACATACATTTGGAAGTGGAATACGACATAAATTGATTTTGACATGGATGAATGGGTTGCTGTTTTCTATGCGATGCCTGTACGGAGGAATTCTTTCAAGCTTCATGCGCAAGGTTGTTTGGCAAATTGGCACGCTCATGTTGATGTTCGTGGTCCATAGACCCTGGGAAAACAGGCTCGGCAATAGAAGACAACCGCCGAACTTCCATACACGAGCCAGAGTGCCAGCGCGGCAAAGGAGCAGCATGGCAATTACGGTAAGGCACATGCTGGTTCTGTTCCCCACCTGTTCAACGAGATAAAAAAAGTCGTTTTCATTCGACGACGAAATCCAAGATGGAATAACCGGGTTTCGTCAACACCCTGGTCACAAGACCAGACCAGCCAATGTAATGGCTTGACGAACGCAAACCACGCGCATTCCACAACCGAGCCGCACCTGTCGGTGACAAGCCCAAAACGTGAGCCAATAGAAAGTGGACAGGTGGTTTGTGTTCCCCCCTCTCAAGACAACCTGTCCACTTCGCCGAACCTCGATCTTCAAACCAGCCAGCTTTCCCAAGCAAACACCAAGAGGCAAAAAATCGCGCGTCGCCGGGACGCGCAAGCAAGCAACCAAGCATTGCAATTTCTGGTGGCGACGGCGATTTTGAATTGCTGCGTTGTTCCTCACAATTGGGGCGCTGCTTTCTCAGCCATTACATTTCCAGCCATTATATTTCCCAAGTTCCCGACCCAACCCAACCCAATCATCCACTCAACCCCCTGGCCCTTCCTCGCCATCATCTCCGCCTCCCTCATATCCAGCCGTCCCTGCTGCTCACCCTCCTCCTCTCCCACCCGTGAATCTCTCACTCCTACATAAACCAGAACAAACCAGATCCTCCACGAGATTTACGACTCTCCCTGGGAGGCAGGCCAGTGTCACTCCGAGTGCCCAGACTTCCCAAAACTTCTGACTCGGAGTCACAGCTTTCGCTCCACCTCCCTCCCCACGTCCGTCGCCCATTCAAGCCGAGCTAGTAGCTCATCCCACCCCGTCTCACCGCACTCCAACCCACCCCACCGCTCATCCCACCCCGCCTCAGTCCCGCATTTTCCCCTCGCCATGGCCGTCAAGGCGCGCGAGCCGCGCGGCACGAGGCTCATGCGCCTCTGCGTCGCGGTCCTCTTTATCGCCACGGTGCTCGACGGCGGCGCGGCGGGCGCCGCCAGCGGCGGCGCACCGTCGCCGTTCCCGCAGAAGTCCCAAGGCCTCCTCAACCGTCACAACGCGTGGCGCCTGAAACACTCGCGCAAGCCGCCTACTGGCGCCGCCGCTGGTGCTACAGCCGGCGGCGCCGCTGCTACAGCCGCCAAAGCCGGAACGAAGACGCTGGTGACGCCTGCCGCGACGAGCACGTGCCAAACGTCGACGCTCGCAGGATACACGAGCTCCATGGACCTCTCGGGCAACGGGTGAGAACTTTATTGGAAAGGATAGTATAGAGAAGATCTCGGAGATCTTTCCGACATTCCGTCGTGTTCCATCGCGTTTCGCACTCCCCCTAATGCACGTCGTCCTCTAAGTGACTCAGTAGTTCTATTCTAATACATTTCGCCTGGCGCTCATCCGTCTCTAGTTACCCTTGCGAAACGTCGCCCCTTTTTCGCCATTTCCCCCAGGCTGGTCCTCCACTGGAAGAAGTCAACGGGGTCAACGATCGACCTGGCCCTGGAAGCCAAGTCAACGAGCGGCGCGGCGAGCGGGTGGTTCTCCGTGGCGTGGACCAACGGGGGCATGTTTAACTCGGACGCCGTCATCGGGAACATAGCGACGGGGACCAGCGTCGGCACGTACGCGATATCTAGCTACTCGAGCGTGGTTACCACGTCGCGGTTCGCTATAACCGCCGCGAGTGTTACAAGGTCGGGCGGGAGCACGATCGCGAAGTTCACGCGATCGACGGGCGACGGGACCGTGGCGGTGAACGTGGCGGGGAGCAACAAGCTCGTGTGGGCCTTCTCGTCTGGCGGCTCCAAGACCGTCGCCAACCACGGCGGCAGCCACAGGTGCCTCGTTGTCGCCCCCCCTCCCCCACCCCCCCCCCCTCGTCGCAAATTGAACCCCGTCCCTCGAGTTGCAATGCTCCAGGCCCCTCTTAGCGCCTCACTCACCTTGTCTCTCTCTCCCCTTCGCCGCTCTGTCGCTATTTCCGTGCCTCCAGAGGCGCAAAGACCATTGACTTCTCTTGTGACGGAACAGCCTCGGGCTCAGGCTCGGGAACCGGCTTGGGAACTGGCTCGGGAACAGGCACGGGAACAAGCTCGGGCACTGGAGCAGGGACGTGCACGGGCAACACGGGCGTGAGCGGCACTGCATGTCCCGCGTCCACTCTCTGCGGCTACTCCTACCAGGCCCAAATCAAATCCGGGTACGCGGATGCAGAGCCCTTTGTCTAGTCACCCACGCCTCCCCAACCCCCCCTCCCAACCACTGCTCACATTGCTCGCCGCTCTGACTGCTAGCGTCTTCTTTTGCCTTGATTTGCCTCTTCCTCGTGTTCTGAGTCCGTCCTCTCCCCTTCCCTCTTCCCCCTTCCCCCTTCTCCCTTCCCTCAGCGTGCTGCTGCATTGGAAGAAGGTGTCGGCCACGCAGTTGGACATGGCTGTCGAGCTCAAGACCAGCAGCGGCGCCAGCAACGGGTGGTTCGCGCTCGGCTGGGCCAACGGGGGCTCCATGGCTCCCTCCGACGCAGTCATCGGCAACAGGGCGGGCGGGATTGTGAGCCCATACCGAATCACAGGCTACACTATGAATTCGTTACAGGGCGCCTCGTTTAGCATTGGCAGTGGTGCGGGGACTGTGAAGTCCGCTACTGGCTCCACCACAGTAATCCAGTAAGTATCGGGCTCTGTGCTGTGCATATGACATGGTCACCTCTATGTCTAGACATGTTTTCTCACATACTTTCCTTGCTTGTTGGTCAACCAGGTTCTCGCGCACAACTGGCACGGGGTCCATTCCCATCAAGATGAGTGGCGTCAGCCATCTCATCTGGGCTCACTCCAACTCCAACTCCAAGACCCTTGCGTTCCACAGCGGTGCAGAGTGAGTGTCCAACGCTGGATCTGATCGCCAGTGTCAAGTCCCCTCTGTATTCCTCTTGCGCTAGTTCTCCCGAAACATCCTCTCAACTCTTGCCTATTCCTTCACTCGTTTCGTCAATGCGCTTTATCCTCCTCTTCCCTCTGCACAATCATATCCCCACTCACTCTTTCACACTGTCTAGATCTCTGTGTAATTCCTGTCCTGCTTTCTCTCCTCCATCTCACAACCCTCTGTTCTCCCTCCTGCCTCTCCCTCCCGCTCTTGTTTCATCGCAGTGGTCGCATGTCTGTGGACTTCTCTTGTGCCATGTCCCCGTCGTCCGTGGACGATGGGGGGTACGATCATGACGGTGATGACCATCATGGGGGGGACGATCATTATGGCGACGGTGATGACTGGCAGCGGGGTGGTGGTTCAGGTTCGGGTTCCAGTGGGGCTTTCCTCTCGCAGCTCATCTCTTGGCTCGGCTTGCTCTTTGGCTTCCGCAAGTAGAGGGTGTCAAACATGTGTATTTGTCATGTTTGTATAGACTGTATAGGATCGCCTCTAAGAGAGTACAACACTTAGGTATATCTGTGTGTACTCTCACTCTATCCATCATTCACTTCTCAATTTTGATATGGTATCACGCGTAGGTAGGATCCCCCCCCACCTACCGCTTCCGCTCACCCCTCTAGCCCCTAGCCCCGTCGCGACCCCCCTAGCCCCGTCGCGCCCCATCCTGGGCCCTGTAGCGCCCCTTCTGGGCCCCGTCGCACCCCTCACTGGGCCCCGTCGCGCCCCTCCCAGGCCACGTCGCGCCCCTCCTAGGCCCTGTAGCGCCCCTCCTGGGCCTCGTCGCGCCCCTCCTGGGCTCCGTAGCGCCCCTCCTGGGCCCCGTCGCGCCCCTCCTGGGCCCCGTAGCGCCCCTCCTGGGCCCCGTCGCGCCCTTCCTGGGCCCTGTAGCGCCCCTCCTGGGCCCCGTCGCGCCCCTCCCAGGCCCCGTCGCGCCCCTCCTGGGCTCCGTAGCGACCCTCCTGGGCCCCGTCGCGCCCCTCCTGGGCCCCGTAGCGCCCCTCCTGGGCCCCGTCGCGCCCTCCCTGGGCCCTGTAGCTCCCCTCCTGGGCCCCGTCACGCCCCTCCCAGGCCCCGTCGCGCCCCTCCTAGTCCCCGTAGCGCCCCTCCTGGGCCTTGTCGCGCCCCTCCTGGGCTTCGTAGCGCCCCTCCTGGGCCCCGTCGCGCCCCTCCTGGGCCCCTGTAGCGCCCCTCTTGGGCCCCCGTCGTGCCCCTCCTGGGCCCCGTAGCGCCCCTCCTGGGCCGCGTCGAGCCCCCCCCTCCTGGGCCCCGTCACGCCTTCAGGCCCCGTCGCGCTCGCCCGGCCCCGTCGCCCCAGCCCGGCCCCGTCGCACCAGCCCGGCCCCGTCGCACCAGCCCGGCCCCGTCACGCCCGCCCGGCCCCGTTGCACTCGCCCGGCCCAGTCGCCCCCTGCCCGGCCCCGTTGCAGCCGCCCGGCCCCGTCGCACCCGTCCGGCCCCGTCGCGCCCGCCCAGCCCCGGTGCGCCCCTCCTGGGCCACCGTCCTGCTCGCCCGGCCCCGTCGCACCGGCCCGGCACCGTCGCACCAGCCCGGCCCCGACGCACCCGCCCGGCCCCGTCGCACCAGCCCGGCCCCGTCGCGCCCGCCCGGCCCCGTCGCGCCCGCCCGGCCCCGTTGCACCGGCCCGGCCCCTGCGCTCGTCCCTGCCCCGGCCCCGGTCCTCCTCACTGGTACGGTTCCCCCCCCCCCCCCCCCCCCCCGCCCTGCACTGCCCTGCACCGTACTGCCCCGCACTGCACCGCCCCGCACCACCCTGTACTGCCTGGCACCGCACTGCACCGCCCTACACCGCACTGCACCGCACTGCATCGCACTGTACCGCACGGCACCGCACTCCACCTTGCTGCACTGCCCTGCACCGCACTGCACTGTTCCTGATGGCGGCGGAGCTTCGCTTCGACGCTGAAGGCCAGCCTCTCGAGTTCGAGGCGTGGCTTGCCGACCTCCGTCGCCAACTCACTGGCAAGCGGCAGGATGGTGAACCGCTCTCCGCACACCTTGACGGTACGCTCCCCTGCCCAGGCCCCCTTGCTATTCTGCCCGCTGACTCCACACCCACTGAGCGCGAGTCCACTGCTGCCACTGCCCGTGCGCGCTCTGTCTGGCTTTCTCGCGATGCTGTCGCCCAGCTTGCCATCAGCAACGCCCTTCCCCCGTCCGAGCGCCCTCGCTTTAGGTCTCTCACCACTGCTCAGGCATACTTAGATGCTGTCATCCAGCGCTATTCCACCCCTCCGGCTGCCTCGGTGGGTCGCCTGATCCTCCCGATGCTCTTTCCTGACCTTGCATCTTTCCCCACTGTCTCTGACCTCGCTGCCCACCTGCGCTCGATAGATGAGACCGGGCGTGCAGCCTGCACTGATGCACAGCTTAGAGCCCACCAGCCGCCCATTACCTCTACCCTCTACCTGCTTGCCACCCGCCTCCCTGACCACCTTGCTGTCGCCCGCGACCGCTTCCTTAGCATTCACCCTGCAGACCTCATCCTCACTGACTTTGTAGACACCCTGACTGTGATAGAGACCCGTCACCGCTCCATCGCCCAGGCGAGCGGTGTCGTGCCGGTCCCTATCTTTCAGGGTTGTGCCCCCGCCCAGTGTACCTTCTCCGACGGCTCTGCCGCAGTGGCTGAGACTGATGCTGCAGCGCAGTTTCGTTCGGGGAAGGGCCGCCGCCCCAAGGTTGGGCGCGACGGCGGCGGCGGCGGGGGTGCGGGAGGGGGTAGTGGTGGGGTCGGGTCGTCTGGTGCTGGAGCGGACGAGGGGAACCTGCCCAGTCCAGCTGAGCCGCCGCCCCTGCAGTTGCAGCAGCCGCAGCAACCGCCGCAGTCGCAGCCTTCGCAGCAGCCGCAGCAGCCGTCGCAGACGCGGCAGACGAGTGTCCTCCCGCCCGGGTGGCCCGGCGCTGGCGGTGGCCGGGCGCGTGGTGGTGTGCCGAGTGGTGGCTCTGGTGGCGGGCGTTGTCAGTACCAGATCCAGACCGGTCCTCGCCGCGGTTTCATTTGCGGTAGGCTCGGTCACTCCACTCCCCGCTGTTTTCGTCGCCTCGACGATCTCTTTCGTCAGCGCTTCGGCCCGTCGCCAGACCTCCCGGACTGGCACAGTTTGCTTAGTCGTAAGATTCAGATTTTTGAAATGGACATGGATGCCATTGTTGCTGCTCTGCATGTGATGTATGCTGATGACTCTAGTGTGGTTCCCGCTTATTACTCACTGTTGCCTAGTGTAGGTGTGCCTAGCTTAGCCTCCCCTGCTGCGTCAGGCGTAGGATCCCCTGCTTTGTATAGTCTTGGTGCTTCCGCCGTCGTTCCGTTGCCAGACGCCTCTGCTTCGCTTTCCTTCACCTTGGACTCTGGCGCTTCTCGGTGTTTCTTCCGCGACTCTACCACCCTGACGCCGCTTCCTGTCCCAGCTGCCGTTTCTCTTGCTGACCCCTCCGGCGGTCCGGTCGTCGCCCGCAGTTCCACCACCCTTCCCTGTCCGGCGGTTCCTTCGGGCTCTCTCACAGGTCTGCATATCCCCTCGTTCTCCAGGAACCTAGTTGGTGTCGGCTGCCTCCAGGACCTTGGCGTCACCACTACGTTCCCTGGTCACGAGCGGTATGCTGTCTGTACCGAGGCCGCCACTGGTGCCCCCCTTTCTACGTTCCCCCGGGACCCGTTGTCCGGCCTGTTCACTCTGGACACCGTGACCCCCCCGGCTGGGGCGCCTCCTCAGGTGGCTGCGTCTACCCAGGTTGCTGCTGCCTGCTCCTGTCGGTCCCTCACTCACCCGACTCTCCTTTGGCACCACCGCCTAGGTCACCCTGCGCTCCCGCGTCTGCGTCACATGTCCCAGCACGGTCTTGTCCTTGGTCTCCCAGGTTCCCTCCCCGCGTTTCCCTCCTCCCCAGCCCCACCTTGCACGCCTTGTGTTGAGGGTCGGCTTCGCCGTGCCCCGCACTCCTCCTCGTTTCCCCCTACCGCCGCGCCGCTGCAGACCCTGCACCTGGACGTCTGGGGCCCCGCCCCCGTCCCTGGGCCGCGTCGAGAGCGCTACTTCCTTGTGCTTGTCGACAACTTCACTCGTTACACCACAGTCTTTCCCCTGGAGCGCAAGGCCGACGTGCCTGGCGCTCTCATTCCCTGGCTTGTCTCTGCGCGTGTCCACCGCGGTCTCCCTGTCTTGCGTCTTCACTCCGACCGTGGTGGCGAGTTTGCCTCAGGTGTCCTTGGTCGCTTTTGTCGTGCGGAGGGCATCACCCAGACGTTCACCCTACCGGACTCCCCACAGCAGAATGGGGTCGCTGAGCGACGCATCGGTTTGGTCATGGAGGTGGCTCGCACCTCCATGATCCATGCTGGTGCACCCCATTTTCTGTGGCCGTTCGCTGTGCACTACGCTTCTCACCAGCTTAACTTGTGGCCGCACCCTCAGCAGCCGCAGGTTTCGCCGACTCGTCTTTGGACTGGGTCTCCTGGTGACGCGTCTGCGTTCCACGTCTGGGGCTGCCTTGCTCACGTCCGTGCCTCCGGCACAGACAAGCTCACTGCCCGCACCCTTCCCTGCTCACTGCTCACTGCTCGCCTTGTGTTGAGGGTCGGCTTTGCCGTCGCCTCCTCCGTCCTCCCTTGTTGTTGCACCCCCCCCGCTGTCTGACTACCTTCGTGCCGCTCGTCCCCTTGTTCCTCGGGTCCTTGCCTCTCTCGTTACCGACCCGTCTGTTCCGACCTTGTGCCTTGACGCTCTTGTCGCTGCTGTCGCTGACTTCGCCTCTACCCGTCGCCTTGACTACGCCTCCGCTCTGGTCTCTGACCCTGCCTGTCCTCCGTCTGTCGGGGGTGCTCCTGCCCTTGGCAGTGGCGTCCTGGAGGACCGCCAGTTCGAGCTTGCTTTCCTCTCCGAGGCTGCTCCCCATCTCTGTTCCATGCTGCTAGTCCCTGAGGGTGACCCAGATGCTTTCGACATCCCGACCCCTCGCACTTACGCTGAGGCGACTTCGGGACCCTGGGCCTCGCAGTGGATAGCTGCCATGGAGCAGGAGATGGCATCTTGGAGATCCACCGGCACCTTCGTCGACGCAGTTCCCCCACCTGGGGTGAACGTAGTCGATGGCCGCTGGCTCTTCAAGGTGAAGCGCCCTCCTGGAGAGCCGCCTGTCTTCAAGGCGCGCTATGTGGCTAGAGGCTTCAGTCAGCGCGAGGGGGTGGACTTCTTCCAGACCTTCGCTCCGACCCCGAAGATGACTACTCTTCGGGTTCTGTTACACCTAGCTGCTCAGCGTGACTACGAGCTTCACTCCCTCGACTTCTCCACTGCCTTCCTTCAGGGCAGCCTACACGAGCAGGTCTACCTGCGGCGCCCTCAGGGCTTCACTGGCACCTTCCCTCCTGGGACCCAGTGGCTCCTGCGGCGCCCCGTCTACGGCCTGCGCCAGGCTCCCCGTGAGTGGCACGACACTCT